TGCTTCCCATGGCGCATGCCCATCGAATCTCTGTGGCTTCCTTCATACTGGATCACCCCTATTACTGACACTCATGTCTGGAATGTGACTTCTGGCAGGGCTGAATCTGTCTGCATTATGGTTTAGCTGCAGGGTCTGGAAGGGGCTTCCTGTTGTCTGGGGCTGATTAGATCCATGGCTAATATATCCTCCCTGTGTAAAGGACAGTAAATCGTCCTTTAATGTATTTAATTCACTCTGAAATTTACTAATATTTTCCATTTGTACTTCTTGCCACTGTTGCTGACTTTCTTCCTGTTTCCTTTCTTGTTCCAGTTGTCACTGCAGTAGTCTCTCTTCTTGTTTCTTTTCTCACTTTTCTTCTTTATTTTCTTTTTCCTCCAACAACTGCTGTAATCTCTCATCTTGTTTCTTTTCTTGTTCTTGTTTCTTTTGCGGTTCTTGTATTGCTGAAATCAGATCTGCTAAGCTGTAGTTTGATTTGCCACTCCTCGTTTCCATCTTCTTTTTTTTTCCATCCCACTCTCTGATACCAATTTGTTACTTATCTACTTGTTTGTTAATTTCCGGTATAAATTCTTTTCGAGAAACTTCAGCTATACAAGTCCTTTCTTGGTTAAAACTAATTTATTCTTTCTCAATACAACTTGTAATACACAGAATTTCCACATTAAATACATTTTCTCGTCGCCTTACTTAACAACCTTTATAACACACAGTGATTCACACACTTTACTAACGGTGCCTACTGTTCGCTTGACTCAATTATCTATCTGCCTATCGCTGGCCTCTCTGCCAGGCTTATATATTAAAAAAGAAGGCATCTCGATCAGTCTAGAGTAGCCGGGCAAATTCATGATCCTTCGAGAAACTCCAGCGCGCATGCTCTCAACGTCACGTGACTTCCGCTGTCGTAACAGCTGTATTGGTCTTTACCATGATTTGTTTGTTCTCCATCTGCCGAGAAAAATATTATTGTGGTAAGCTTGGTGGAGATTAAAAAACGCAGCCATATAGAATAGATAAGTGAAAAATGCAGTAGGGGCATACTATAATAGTAATAAAAATAGTCAAACTTGTTACTTCCAAAGTTCTGAAGCTTGATGAACCTTAGAACTTTTTGTGATACCATCATAGTCCGTAGAATAACAATCATTGTGTGTCTAAAATAAATGAGTTTCTATCCTAAGTCTGAAAACTTAAATGCAAAAAATGTGGTTTCGTTATCTATGAAGGGCAGAACATGGATAGCCCATAGTGTATTTTGGGCTTAACAACAAAACAAAGTCTGAACCTTTTAGTACATGGTGTACATTGATTAGAGCGCCAAACTATAGATAGTTTATGATATTGATTACTGTTACCTATTGAGAATTTCGAAGAATCCAAGGCCACGTTAAATAATTCAACTTTTAATAGTTGAACCGTACCCTGGATTTAGTGTTTAGAAATATGCCCATATATTATTGTTACGTCTCTGTTCGTTAGTTAATTTTCCGTAAATTCGTTTCGACGAAACTTTAGCGACACAAGTCATTT